AAACTTTGCCAAGTGGAAGCACTTGATGAGTGCCTATCTTGTAGGTCTTCACCCCGATCTTTGGTAGATTGTGGTGAATGGATTGCAGCCACCGGAAGATCCCGAAGTGCCAACAAATGAAGAGTTAGCTGATGTCCATCTCAATGGCTAAGCCATAAGCATTCTTCTTAGTGACTTGGATAGAAATGAGTACAACCGAGTGATGAATGTCAATGTTGTAAAATAGATTTGGGACACTTTGCATCTAGCACATGAAGGTGTTGATAAAGTGAGGAAAGCAAAGATTGATTTGTTGATGGCTAAGCTCAATAGGTTCGTGATTGTTGATGGAGAGGGGCCACAAGAGATGTTTGATAGATTGATGATCTTAGTGGGCAAGATTAGAGGCAATGGATGTGAGGAGCTTGATGATCACAAAGTGGTGAAGGTTATGTTGGAAGCCTACTCACCAAGAAATGAGACTGTAGTTACCTTGATTAGAGATAAGAAGAAGTTTGAGCACTTCACACCAAATGATGTGCTTGGAAGATTGTTGACATTTGACATGCAAAGAGAAGAAGCCAATGTGAGGAGAAGACTTGGTGAGTTGCAAGCCAAGCTAGAAGGCATGAAAATCAAGGAAGTAGCTCTCAAGGCCAATAAATCAAGCAATCAAGGCACCTCCAACAAGGCAAAGGGCAGCAAGCAAGCATCAACAAGTCAGCCCAAGGAAATCAAGTCAATTCCACAAAATGATGATCCAAGTTCATCCTCAAGTGAAGATGAAGATGATGAGGCTGATTACATGAAGATTGATGACATGGCTTTGTTCATGAAAAACTATCACAAGGGGCTGAAAAGGAATGGGTATAAAATAGTACAAAGAAGGTTCCCAAACAAGAAGAAGAGGACTTGCTACAATTGTGATAGCACCGAGCACTTCATTGCTAAGTGTCCCTATGACAAGAAAGAAAACAAATACAAGAGGGACAACAATGAAAGCAAGCATGAACACAAAAAGAGATACAAGCAAATGGGAGAGGCACACATTGGGCACGAGTGGGACTCAACTAAGGAGTCAAGTGATGAGGATGTGAAGGTTGCAACCGTGGCTATTCAAAAGCCATCCTCTACACCAAGGCTCTTCAACAACATGTCCGATGATGATGACCACCGCTCCACTCACATTTGTCTCATGGCAAAGGGTGAGAAGGTAAAACGAAGAGCCAAATCTCCTCCACCTCCAAGTGACATCTCTAGTAGTGAACTTGGTGATTCTAGTGATGTTGAGGAATATGCTAAATTGACTAAAAATTTGGATCCTAAGACCAAGCTCTTTATCATAAATCTAATGGAGGAATTAGAAAGTGTCAAAGCCGAGCTAGCCGATAGAGATGAAAATCTTGAGGAAACCGAAAAGATGTATATTGGCTACAAGGAAGCTCTTGAGTTAGAGAGAAGTGAGGTGGACTCTTTGAACAAGGCCTTGGTCGAAGAACAAAGAGAACATGCTCTCACAAAGAAGGCAAATATTGCACTCAATGACAAGTATTGTGTCTTAGTTGAAAAGCACAACAAACTTGAGGAGCAATATAGTCTTCTATGCGAGAGCACCCCACTGCCCTCTAACACAAATGACACTTCTATTCCCTCCACTAGCTAAGGATGTGGAAAATGCTATAATCTTGACTTAAATGTTTATTCCACTAACCTTGCAAACATGGAGATTATGAAAAAGGAGATTTCTAGGCTCAATGCTATGTTAGGTAAAAGGTGCATGGAAGACAAGAAATCTGCTGATGGCAAAGTTGAACAACCAAAGAGGCCACAATACAAAGATGGAAGAAATCCACGCATCAAGGATGGGCTTGGGCACACTCATGGAGGTAAAACCAATGGGAGAAAGGTAATCAATGGATATGAGTGTGTTCAGTTCGTGAGCAAAGGGCAGGAAGGTATAGATAGGTCTGCACAGATGATGGCACAAGGCCAGCCTAGAGCAGCACCGCAGCCTATGGGCGGTAGTGCCGCTGTGAAGGGCGGTAGTGCCGCCCCCCACAAAAAAGAGAAGACCACATCCTCATCCTCTACTCATGTCAAGTCCAAGAAGAAGGTATCTCATCTTGAGCAGGTTGTCCAGAAACCAAAGAAATCTATCTGGGTCACTCCAAATAGATATGCTTATCAACCAAAGGCAAAAACACCTCAACAATGTTTGAATTCTAACTTTGTTTTGCAGCACAACAGCAAGGGGGAAGTGTTTGCCAAGTTTGTTGGCAATGGTGCAAAATGTTTATCTTAATACCTTCATTTGGGTTCCTAAAGTTCTTATGACTAACATGCAAGGCCCCAAGAATATTTGGGGACCTAAAACTAGGAACTAAACTTGTGTTGCAGGCATACTCCTCCGGTGGGTCAAGTTGGGTACTTGACAGCGGCTGTATAAATCATATGACCGAAGAAAGGAGTTTGTTCTCATCATACTCCTCAACTACAAATTCAGATGAGAATATCATATTTGGTGACAATTCTAAAGGGGGTGTGATTGGACTTGGTAAAGTAGCTATTACATTTGATCATTCAATTACAAATGTCTTACATGTTGATTCCTTGAAGTACAATCTGTTGTCCGTCTCTCAATTGTGTGAGATGGGCTACAATTATCTCTTCACGGATAAGGGTGTGGAAGTCTCTAAGAGGGAGGATTCCTCTATTGTCTTTGTGGGTCGCCTCAAGAACAAGCTTTACCTAGTTGATTTCAGCAAAAGTAAAGCTAAGCTTGAGACCTGTTTAGTGACAAAATCTAGCATGGGTTGGCTATGGCATCGTCGACTAGCTCATGTTGGGATGAGGAACTTAGCCAAACTCCTAAAAGACAACCACATCCTTAGACTAACCAATATTCAATTTGAGAAAGATAGGATTTGTAGTGCTTGCCAAGCCAGAAAGCAAGTTGGTGTACCTTACCCACCAAAGAGCATCATGACCACTACACAACCGTTGGAGTTGATTCACATGGATCTCTTTGGACCGGTCGCCTACTTAAGCATCGAGGATAACAAATATGGTCTAGTTATTGTTGATGATTATTCCCGTTTCACTTGGGTATTCTTTGTTTATGATAAGTCCCAGGTGCAAGAGAAAGTCAGGATATTTGTGAGAAAGGCACAAAGGGAGTTCGGTCTTCCTATCAAGAAGATAAGAAGTGACAATGGGACTGAATTCAAGAACACTCTAGTTGAAGAGTTTCTTGGTGATGAGGGCATCAAGCATGAGTTTTCAACTCCTTACACCCCTCAACAAAATAGTGTAGTAGAGAGGAAGAACCGTACACTTCTTAATAAGGGAAGGACAATGCTAGATGAGTATAAGACGTCGGACCTCTTTTGGAGTGACGCCGTCAACACCGCTTGTCATGCCATCAATCGCCTCTACTTACACAAGAAACTCAAGAAGACTTCATATGAGCTTCTAACCGGTAACAAACCAAAGGTGTCATACTTTAGAGTGTTTGGGTGTAAGTGTTTTATACTTGACAAAAGACTCAAAACCTCTAAATTCGCACCTAAAGTTGATGAAGGCATTCTTCTTGGTTATGGATCAAATGAGCATGCCTATCGTGTCTTCAACAAAACCATGGGTAGAGTTGAAGTCACGGTAGATGTGACATTTGATGAATCTAATGGCTCTCAAGTGGAGCAAGTTGATTCAAGTGTTGTAGGAAAGGAGGATCCACCATCTGAAGCTAAGAAATCACCTCTCACTTCAAGAGTTCATCCTCTTGATTTGAGAACGAGGGTAAGGCAAGCCTTTGTGGCAAGCCCAAGCCTTTTGTGGCTTCCTCAACAACGTGGACTTAGACAAACATTTGTGGTGAGCTGAACCATGGGATAAATCTTGTGTCTTGCGTGCTTCATCTTGTTTACTTGCTGGTTTAGCTCATTGCTAGCTGGTGTTAGGGTTTGGTTGCTTGATCCACTCTTGTGTGGAGTTTCTATGGTATTCAATCTTCGAACTGGATCTTATCTTTATATTGCAGGATTAAGCAGCTAGTGGGGTCAGGTTCATCTCTGTAAAATCTCAGTTGTGTTAGATTTATTTTCGTAGAGCGGCAGTGCCGCCCTCTGTTCTGACAGAGTTTTGAGTTGAATTTTTACAGGCCTATTCACCCCCCCCCCTCTAGGCCTCCTTTATCTTCGTGTAGATCCTATAGCGACCATGTCCGTCATCGCACTTTGTGCCCCGACGGCGACGGTGTCGGGCTGCAGCTGCGGCGGCGGGCACAGGCACCACTGCGTCACTACGTGAAAAACGGTTTGTAGCAACGGGACAATTTTTTTTTAGGGGCGGCTGGTGATGGAGCCGCCCCTACAGTGGCGGGCTCGGGAGCCCAGAGACCAACCGCCCCTATAAATGGAACAGCAGGGACGGCTACAAATGGGTCTCATTTATAGGGCGACTCACTCACCAGCCGCCCCCGGTGTTTCTATTTGTAGGGACGGCTCAATCACCAGCCGCCCCTACAAATGACTCTGACTATATATTCTAGAGCACAGTCGAAAAATATATTCTCCTTCAGAGCTTCTCTTCCCCTCCCCTCTCTTTCTCTCCTCTACGCTCTCTCCCCCTCCCGGAACGCAGGCAGCGGTGCAGGCGCCTCTCCTCTCCTCCGCCTCTCACCCCTCGTGCCCCCCCCCCCCCTTGCGCATAGGGCGCTGGTGACGGTGGCCCCGCCAAATCGGTGGTGCTGTGGTGGTGAGTGGCCGCCCCTGGCTGCGGGGGCCCCAACGGCTGCCGTCCTCGGGCACGGCGCCTACGCCTGCCCCCGATGCGACATCTCGTCTGCTCCATGAAACCCTAGGTGCCTGTCTCTTCCTCTGCCTCTCCCTCTGTCTCAATCTCTCTCTCCGGATGTGCCTGTCTCTTCGTCTGCTCCATGAAGCTCCTCAAGGAGGCGAAGAAGTTGCGGTTGGCCTCCTCCTCTTCTCCGTCGGCTCAGACTCAGATATCTGCTTGCGGCGATGGCGTCGTTCTCGGAGGCTCCCCCCGGGAACCCCAAGGCGGGCGAGAAGATCTTCAAGACCAAGTGCGCGCAGTGCCACACGGTCGAGAAGGGCACCGGCCACAAGCAAGGTGAGCGACACCCCCCTCCGCCGCGGCCTTAATGGGTCAGATCTGAGCTCAGGTAGCCGTAGATGCAGATTTCTTTGTGTGGGAATGGTGCGCGTGGTGCTTAGATGTGTTCGATTGCTATGGGATTCGTGATAGGAACTCAGGCTAGTTCGTTTGCTTGTCTTGTTTTAGCATCAAAACGCTCATGATGCAGGTGGGTTGTTTGATTTGAGCCTGGCGTTAGTAGAGCAGGGCTAGCTTGTTCCGATTTCGCGTTGTGTTGAGATGATCAGGATCAGGTGATAAGCCCATTGGTGGCTCAGGTAAGCAGAAGTCGCATCAAGCTTCTCTCTGTAGTTGGCAAGCATAAGTGATCTGAAAACTGATTTTGTACTATGGTTTTCAGATATTAAATCTTTTTAGCTTTAGATTGCAGTTAAATATTAATTGCTATAGTCTTCTACATTACGAAGGGTTACTTCATGAAAAGGAAAATAAGTTATATTCCTTTACAATGTACTATTTTTGTGCATGATTCATAAATCATATTTCACTGTTTGAGGCCCTTCAATGCTTTCTATGTAAAGAGAGTGCAAGTTGTGGCAAAATAAAAGACAAGCTTGTTTCTGAGGCAATTGAATATTGAGGCTGTTTCTATTTTCTTCCTGAGAAATATATACTGAAATAACTATGCAACTTCCAGAACCTTTTATGGACTAATAAATGAAACCACAATAGTACAGTAGTACACTGATAGCTTTAACTGAGCATTTATCTTGTTGTTTTGCTAATCTGTTTCCCAATCCTATATCAGGGCAAGGAGTATGTCTTCGTTGCAAACTCAGACAACTTGGGTGCTATTGTCGACATCAGTATCCAAATAGAATGATCAAATTTGCATAATTTATTTCCTGTGTTACTACTTACTATTGCCATGTGCTTTGAATTGAAAATTGTATCCTTAATCAGCACAGAGATCTTAAACCATCTGATCAATAACCAGAACGAGTACTGCATGGAGGTATGCAAGAATGTCTTGTTTATACTGCTGTTGAGTTTGTGCAACATAAAACTCAAGAACTGTATTTATTCTAGGTAACTCCAAAGACGCTGGCTGATGTTAAGGGCGGTACTCTCATCTCTTACGAAGGAAGAGTTCAGGTACACAGTACACTTGTCTGTTGCTCAACTTGAATAATTTCTCTGCACACTGCTAGTTTATTGCCCATCTTTACTGGTTTCGACATCAAAAAGAGGTTTTTGAGCCTTTAAGTACTCGAAAGTTAGAACTTTGTATTTATGACAGACAATTATGCTTACTTGTTCATTCTGGGATTCTAGAATAAGATGATACTCATTCATTTTATGATATTTATGCAGCTTTTGGAGATTGCCCAAGTACCTGATGAGCATGTGTGTTGCTGTTTCTGTGTTACTTAAAGTTTCATAATCTGTTCCATGATTTCATCGGCCTTTTGTAGTAAGAGCTAACACAACCTTTTCTATTTCTCTTGTATCTCTATCCAGGTGAATGAATTTAAATCAATCGAGAAGTTTAAGATATTCAACACTAACAACTTGTAAGAAACCTGGCCTACATTTTAAGGGGAAAAAAACTCTTTCTCTAACAGTTCTTGCTCAACAGGTGGGTGAACCTTAAAGCTATTAAGAGACTCGTAGAGGCTGAGGCACTTAAGATGGAAATTATTCCAAACCCCAAGGTATGTCACCTATCTGAATCTTTATGATATCCTTTGCATATCATTTATATTGTAGTGCATCAATCAGATTCTTTGTTGAGTGATATTACAAATGTTGGGTTCTTCTACTAAGAAGTTGGCATTTACAGGAAGTTGATGGTGTGAAAGTCCTTCAACTCGAAACTGCAGCTGGTGCAGCTATTCGGGTACACACTTAATTTCAATATGTCGGTGCTGACTCCATACTGTTTCATGAGAAGGTTTCTAAAGGCAGCACAATCTGAGAAGAAGGTAAGATACTAATATATACTTCTGTTTTTGTGATCAATAAATCATGTAAGCTATAGGTTTACTGTACAGGTACATAAACCCTGACAAAATCTTTATACTACTAGACAGCTCGAACTCCTGTCTTTCTTCATGATCGAGCTGAGTCTTGTCGAATATGAGATGCTCCAGTTCTGCCCGTCTATGCTAGCATCTGCTGCCATCTACACAGCTCAATGCACCATGCTTGCTTGGTCTTTTTGTGATATAGATATATGTTTTGTTGTCATAATATGAGTCTGTTTGTTATTATTGTGATTCTTGTACTATATAAGATGTTTAGAAATTTTTGGCTAAACAATCTTGTTTGGGCCACAATATTACAGTCAAGTTTGCTAGGATTCTTATCATGTATTTTACTCGTCACAGGATGTTTTGGGGAGCACGTGTTGGTAATTTGAATTTTTTTTGGCGAAAAAATACACTGTAGGGACGGTTGGTACTGTAGCCGTCCATACAAATCGATTTGTAGAGGCGGCTGGTGTTATCAGCCGCTCCTACAGATCAATTTATAGGAACGGTCTGAGAACCACCCCTACAAATACATGATTTGTAGAGATAGTATAGTAGAAACGGCCGGTCGAACCGCCCCTACAAATGCCCATTAGCGGCCTCTGGAAATCATATATGACGTAGTGCGTCAACATCTGCGTGAACAGCAACGTGCAAGGGGTCACCAACTCCGTGCTGGTCGGCAGCCCCCGGGCAGCCACCGCCGTGACGGAAAGCGAAGTTTTCGGCAGCAGCAAAAGCCGAAGACGACGACGAAGACTGTTGGGATCGTCGTCGCCGTCGTGTCGTTGCTGCTCGTACCAGCTGCGGCTACCGTGCTTTACCTGTATCTTTTTGTACGCATACGCCAATGACTGCAGATGCATTGTTTTGGACTTTTGGTGATGGTATGATTAATATATATCGAGCAATTTCTTCCCTTGAATTCGCTGGAAACTATGGCGAAACCGATTTACACCTGCGAATTGCCATTGTTTCTCCCTCGGCCTTAGGGTTTGTTGTACGCAAGGTATAAACATTTTTGTACCATAAAACGTAAGGGAGAGCCGACACGTACAAGCATATACTAACAAACTAGCTGTCGGTCGTCACAACCCCACACATCATTATATTATATCGCGTACGAACTCAACATTTTAGATCCATCGGCTGCCAAGAAAACTTGACATCTTTCGGCGCCAATTATTTGACGATTAAGGTTCGCACCTCCCTGAACAAAAAGGCAGTGGCTTCAGCCCAAACCGACAGCAAAGTGTCGGGTCACAATTTGCAGTGAGCTTCTCCAATTGACTTGTTTTCTTCATGTCTTTTCGGCTAAGCTTCTTTTACTCGATGCCTTAAACTTCTAGCATGAGCTCTAAGTGTTCATCAGCAACTCCGCAGCTCCGTTGTCTTTCTTCATGTATTTGACAATGCAGGTACTTCCAATGCCTTCAATAGCTCCTCAACTAGTTTGACAGACTTATGTGGTTGATACTGAACTTCGTGATAGCTATTCCTCCATGTCCCCCACAAATTGACACGCGACGTAATTTCAATCACGTCCTGAGATAATAATAGAGCAAATTATAAAAAAAATACTCCACCATGAAAAACGAAAAAGCACACTCAGTCAATCCTCACACGACGGCTTCGGTTGGAACACCCTCTTGCCCATGTAAGCGATCTCATCCATAAATCAACGCACGGTGATAATTCAGATCACATCCTGAGACAATAACAAAGAGTACTTCATCACAAGCAGCGAAAAGCATGCTCAGCCAATCCTCACTCGAGAGTTCTGACCAGAACACCCTCTCACACATGCAAACTCCTCACTTACCAAGCCACCGAGGATGATGAAGGGAGGCAAGATGGGCATGGCCAACTCCACCCACCTTCCACCGTCCGTGGTTCACCGGTTCCACCGACGTTTCCCTTAGATAAAAGAGTTATTCAGTCGACACAGATTATGCAATTGCGCTTGACCCTGACTTGTTGACTCAGGGATAGCATAACAGTGTTCTACGGGCAGACAGCCTAATAACAAGAGGCAGTTCGCTTTCTTCTTCCTAACCCGCCACCGCGCCGTTGACTTCCAACGCCACTGCTGCTTGCCTGCTTCCCTCGAGCAAGAAGCTCATCTCCCGACGGCCGATCTAACGCCGCCGGGCTGGGGAAAGCGCAACCCGTCCTAGATATCTTGCCGGCAACGAGCTCCGCCGCCGCCGGAGTCCATCACGATCCCCTGGTAAGCAGAGAACATCGCATCCCCTTATCTGCTGTCTCTGTCTGCCACACATCTCCGTTCCTGTACTGTTGCAACCCAAATCGATGTGTTCCTCTTCCTCCTCGCGGCGTCCTCGCTGAGGTTATGGAAATGACCTCACCTCACCGAAGATTTACCTCGGCCCCAGGCCCCAGCGATGGCGTCGTCGTCGGGCAGGCGCGTCGAGCCCGTTCGCGCCGCCACCAACTTGGGTGCTCTGCCCCTGGACGCCCTCTACGACATCCTGCTCCGCCTCCCGGCCAAGGAACTCTGCGGCCTCCGCCTGGTCTGCCGGTCATGGCGCGCCCTGCTCTCCGACCCAGCGTTCGCCGCCGCCCACGCAGCACGCTACCCTGAGCCACTCGTCCTCATCGGCTACAACAACAATCCTTTATTAGAATTAGAAAACGGTGACTGGAACTGGAAATACCAAGGCGTCATCAGCATCATGGATCTGTCCGGGCACGTAGTCAAGAAACTGCGTGTGGACGGCCACATCACGAGCATGTCGCTCCACCTCGCCTGCGTCAAGAAGACCGGAGACGGCAGCTGCCGGCTGGTGAACCCAGCCACCGGAGCCGTGCACCACGTGCCGAAAGAGGATCCGGCTTACGGCTACAGCGACAGATTGTGCCCGTTTGGGCAGGTTGCCAGCACGAGGGAGTACAAGGTGCTTCGAAAGGTTTCGTATTCGCTCAATGGCAACCCTCGTGTTCTCTATGAGATCTGCGCCATTGTCGGCAGGAGCAGTGCCGTTCATGGTCATGAGCAGTGGAGGATGATTCAGGATCCTCCATGCTGTATTGATATTGATTGGTGCGCCAAGGCCAGTGTGGTCATCGATGGAGTTGTCTACTTCCTAAGCAAGAATGCATATTCTGCTGGTGGTTCTGAGCAGGATTGGATAGCGTCATTTGACCTTGAGACAGAGAGGTGGAGACCAAATATCAGGGGACCCCAAGGCCTTATCATCTACAATGGACTGGTTGTTGACAAGAAGCTTTCATTAGTCAACCTAAATGGCTCACTGGTTATTGTTCATCTCCGTATCTCTGTATGGACCTTTGGTGTCTGTTGGACTCTGACAAGGGCCTCTGGGTCAGGCAATACAGCATTTCGATCAAAGCGTACTACCGCCGCAGTCTGTTGTCCTTTACTCCCTTGATTGTGTTAGACGATGGGAGGATAGTGATACATATCGATGGGTTGGGATTGGGAATGTTGAAGATTTATGACCCAAAAACCAACAAGTTGTCGAGCGTTGCGGAGACAGGTCTCAGCAGTGCAGTTAGTGTGTACACAGGAACCTTGTTGAGCTTAGAGTGGTGAGGCAAGTATCTATCTTGTGGTACTGTATTTATTTGTCCGTCTGGTTTATGTGAAAGACACTGGCTTTTATACTTTCTTTGGTCCCTATCACTATGATAGAAACTGTTTCTTGTTTCTGTTGGCGAGGAGTTTGTGAGCTGAAACATCCATGTTCAGAGAGTAATAATTTCTGCCTTTTAAACTAAACTGCACCGTGTCTAGATTTGCTGCCATTGCTGATTACCGTTGCCAAGGCTGGCAAGGGCTATATATGCTCCTCCTCCATTGTTCTCAATCCGTTATCAAGCACCATTAGCTTAGTTTTGTTTAGAGATTTCCATTGACAACAAGTCAGTCGAGTAATTGTCAATGGAAGCCCCGTCCCCGTGGAGACAATTTTGAAAACGGCATGCAAAGTGAGCTCTTTTCTGTAAGTGGGAGGGTATTCCTGTTAGTTATGGAGCAAAACAGAGATTTGATTGTATTCTAATGACATGAATTGAGTGGTATCATGAAAATATAACATGTGAATTGGTCTACAGTTTGTATATGTATATCTTTAATGATAGAAGGAGTGATTAGTATATTCTTGATTTGGTTCTGATCCCCTGCCCAAAAAGATCAGGCTGTGTAAGTCCAGCTTGCTGGATCAAGCTGTGTAAACTCACTGTCTCAATTATTATTTGAAGAGCTATTTGGTAGCCTGTTTGGTTCTACTACACAACCAGCCTGTTCGTTTGGCTGTGGCTTGTCGTAAATGATCGTAAATTTTCAGCCGGAACAGTATTTTTCTCTCACACAAACCAGTCAGCAGTACTTCTTCACGAACCAGCAACGATATGAACCAGCCAACTGAACAGGCTGGTTTACATTTCTAGCTCTGGTGGCGTGTTTACATGGTTTTGTGAAACTACATACATACAAAAATTGAGGTTTGTAAGTGGCAAGAGTTTTAGAAAAATTACTTTGAATTATATGTTGTAAAAATTCCAAATTATTAGGCAACTCCAATAGTTAAAAAAAACAATCAATGAGTTTTCTAAGTACCTAGAAAAAGTTAGGAGCATATTTATTGGGTTCCTCCAACAATTTCTAAAACCTCACTCCTAAAATATAAAAAATAATCTTGCATTAGAAATACTAGACTATTTTGACATCACTATATCCATTTTTATGCTTTCTTTCTCTCTCATACATTTGCAATCCTATTCTACTCCTTATTCTTTCCCATGTCCTTCCACATCTAGCAAATTGATGCGCGCACGTATACTTGTGCGTGATTGGGTCGAGTGTTGAAAGATTAGGAGATGTTAGAGAGCAGTTTTTTTTTATCTTGGAAGAAAATCAAAGATTGAGAGTGGGTCTTGAAAACTCTTGGAGATGCTTTGAGCGCTTTAACTTTTATATATAATTTTGTAGAATTTTATTTGCAAAAAATGAATTTAAAAAATAAAAAAAATCAAGTCTATGCATGACTCTTGTCTGTAGCCCTGGGCAAATTACCAGCTACCCAATATTCGAGCCCGAGCTACCCATACCCAAAGTACCCATACCCGATCTACCTAATTACAATTTCAGATAGTGACTGTTCGGGTAACGGCTGGCAGTACCTGAACTACCTGTATTACCCGATGTCAGATTTCAGAGCCCATCAACAGCTCAAGGCATCAAGCCCACTACGGCCCAGCATCAAGCTTCCACTTCCCTCGATGCCTCGACCAACCCTTAGCCGAACCCCCAAAATCGCCGATTCCGCCAAGGTCCCAGCGCCAGAACCCCTCCGCGCCGCCCCTCAGGGCTCCGGCAGCAAAACCTAGCCCTTGCTGCTCGGCGCCCGCCACCCCGCCCCTGCCCCCGCCCGAGGTGCGAGGCCGAGAGCGACCGCCCGGCGCCCGACGCTGCAGCTCTGCCTGTGCCCGACCCGCTGTCCACTTCGTGCTCCGGCCGTCACAACGGGCAACGGCGCGAGCGCGAGTGTGTGACGCAGCTCACCACCGCCGCTTCGGCCCACTACTTGGAAGTTGGAACTACAGATCCAACCAAGCACGGGGTGTCGTCATCCCCAACCCAACTCGACTCACGCCCCGCCGCTTCCGCCCCCGAATTCGAGTACCCCAATCGTGACAGGCCGCTCACCACGGTTCCTCCCTGCGGTTCCACTGCCGCGTCCGGCGTTGGCTACTGACCGTGTCGTTGTCCAAGCCGTGCGCCATGCCGGAGCGGCGCATTGTGCCGGCTCCCGCGGCGTCCGACATCAGCGTTCTGCCCCTGGACGCCCTGCGCCAGATCCTGCTGCGCCTCCAGGCGAAGGAGCTCTGCCGCCTCCGCCTGGTCTGCCGGCAGTGGCGGTCCCTCCTCTCCGACCCTTACTTCGCCGCGGCCCACGACGCGCGGCATCAGGGGGTGCTCATCATCGCCGCCTACAACGACGACGCGGGGCGCGACGTGCTGGCGGATATCATGGATCTCTCCGGGCAAATCGTCAAGAAGGTGCGCGGAATGGAGGGCGATAGGGCCGTGAGCGTGAGCCTTGACCACGTCTTCGTAAGGAAAATCGACAACGGCTGCAGCAGCTACCGACTGTTCGACCCGATGCTCGAAGAATTGTATTACTTACCAGACAAACTACTTGGTCCGGCTACTGGAGCTGTGTATCGCATACCGGACAACTTTGCAGAAGAGCACGTGGAACTCGCTTCGAGCTTGATCGAGCCCAAGTATCTGTTTGGACAGGTCGCTCGCACAGGGGAATACAAGATATTTCGAATGCTATTCCATTTTTCCATTGGGATCGGACGTCGGCAGATGTTTGAGGTCTGCACACTCAACACCAATAACAGTAGCAGCTGTGCAGGGTGGAGGAGAGCGGCGCCCCTTGAAGAAGCCATCCAGATGGGTAGGTTTACCAGTGTGGTAATTAACGGGGTTGTCTACTGCCTATGTTTTCATGCACACCATTCTATCACCTTCGATAACCAAGTTACTGAGAAAGATTTGATATTTACATTCGACCTTGAGACTGAGGCATGGGGGCCGTCTATCCGAGGCCCCCCGATCACCTTTCCTGATGATGCTAATCTGATGTTCTACAACCTTGGTCTTCCTAATGTAAGGCAACTGACAGTAGCCAACCTGAATCGCTCCTTGGCTGTTGTGCATGGCCCAGCTCCGAAAGTTGACATTTGGATTCTACTGGACTTTGCTAAGGGTCTCTGGGTCAAAATCTACAGCATACAGTTTGATAAATATGCCATTCTTGAGCCCGTGCATCCCTTGTTTGTGTTTGGCGACGGGAGGATAATCCTATATAAACAATACCATGACTATTTACAGATTTATGATCCAAGAACCAACACACTTACTAATACAGTGGAGTCAAAGCATTTCTCTGCAGTTGCTAGGTACGCAGGAAACCTATTGAGCTTAAAGTGCTGAGTACTAATGAGGTGAGTATTCTATTGTACTTGTTTTTGTAATGAACACTTGTCATTTACTGGTGACAGGAAAAATGTATTGATAACTGATGGATGTTTGAGAGTAGCCTTCCTCTTTAAAGGTGCTATCTGCATATAGTTTTTTTTAATGGAAATTATGTTAGGTTGGTGTTTATTGTTAGCATGGATGATAACATAATGCACATCCCCGTTTGGTGCCAGTGCACCAGTTTAATGGGTCTGTTGACTATAGAAGTATTGGACACGGTGCATAAAAGACATATATTGCCATACTAAAAGTGTACCCACGATGACATGAGGATGAGATAATTTGTCCTCTTAGAGTCTTGGTTTCCTTGTCTAGGGCAATAAAGTGTTGTTTACTTGAAGCACTGTAGCATCTCCCTTCTACTGTAACAAATACTCGTTTTCATCATTCTGCATAGTTTAGGGCAAACTGTATTCTTTCTGGCCAAATTTCAATTGTACAACTTAAACATACCAAATGGTTGATTAATGTGGGTTCTTAAGTCTCATCTGGAAATAGATTTACGACTGATTTTCCATCTGTTGGTTTGAGATTTGTAGTGTTTACCTTTGTTTCAGATGATAGCTAGTGGAGCAAAACTAGGAATAATTGTGAAGCGAGATTATATCTCGGTCTGGTTTCTGTATATTCATGTATGCCACCCGCTGATTTCTATCATGTTGATTTTTGTGTGATATTACTTTTCCATGTTCTTCATATTTTTATTTGTTTATTGCAGGTTTTGTCATGGTTAAGGTTTATGGTTTAAAGAGTTCAAATATGAACTTTATTTTAGATCCTGATACTATTATGCTCCTATCCAGGCAGGCTCAAAAATGTGATGGCTCTTTCTTAAGCGGATGTGCTTTTCTCAAATAACTGAAGAAAGATATGAATTAGGCCCTTTTGATGAATAATGTTAAACAAAATATTATGTTCTTCTGTTGTTTATACATGGCAGAAGGAATGGACAATCCATGCTATGGCTATGCTATGCAGCTTAGGTGATTACAACAGTACTGCAAGTGTTGTTTTTTTTCCTTTTTTGCTAGGCTATTTTGTCTATTACATCATCGGCACAATTACTCTGTGCATTGCTGTATATATTGATTTATTTGGATTATTTTTTCAATTTCCTTTGGTGCATTTGTGCCACTACCTCTTCCTTTTTTAAAAAGTCATCATGTCACTGTGAATTTGCTTAGGAATAAGTCTATTTTGCTTCAGAGGATCCACTTTTTCTTGTTACCTTCTGTGAAATGGTAGAGTAAAGAATTAGCAGGCAAGACCTTTCTGTTAACTAGGAATCGTTGCAACATGCTCTAAAAGGACTATGATCATCACATTAAATCTTCATTGTAAAATTGCGTTTCTCAAATCAAACCAGAAGCATTCACACCAAAAATTCAGAGTATCATTTTTTTAGGACGATTGGGTTCATGAATTTCCTTTCATGTTCAGAGGTCTGCAACAAGACTAATAGCAGCTACATTCTGCTTCCAGATTATCCTAAACATGCTGTATTTTTGCCTTCCAATCTGACCAGCGCTGGCAGACATATATCTCTACTTTTGTGTGTAAGCGTTGTCGGCCCCCAACGGCCCAACCCCCTTCTCTAATCCTGCCCTACTGTATCATGTCCTTCGCTAATCTTTCCTGACTCCCATATGTGGGGAAACTGTAACTTTTTCAAAATCACCTTGTAGAGAAGCTTTATAAAAGCTCAGGAGGCTGGTCTAAGTGTGCTTATCTGCTTAGAGTGTGTTTGATGGAGCTGTGGCTTTTGAAGCTTTTATTAGCTTGAGAAGCAACCCTGCTAGCTCCCCAAATAGTGTCTCAGACGTCGTTCCCAAACCCCCTTTGCTAATCCTACCACAACTCGATTCTCCGATAGACACGCAGGTTGGTTGATCCAATTTATTTCTCTGTCTCACTAATCCTTCTTGCCACAACTTGTTTCTACGGCGCATGCGGCCCCACGTGGCTGCCTGCGCATTTGGTTCTGTCTATGTTGACATTGATTTGGTCAACACCACAAGAGCTAGGACACATGTGTCGCGCAAACATGGTGATGGGCGCCGATGCTACGAAACCCGACCTGACCAATTTCTGAAGCCGGTCTAGTCGATTTTGTGTGTAAATGTTGCAAAGCCCATGAATTCTCCTAGAAAGACATGTTAGGGAAGCACACCTAGGGTTGATTTAGGGTCGGCAAGGGCACCTAGATCACCCACGAATCTTGTCAGACATGCATAGAACAACAAGTACTTGGGGTTGGAAGAGCTAGGGTTTGGAGGAATAAAGAGTAGGGCAGATTTGTTTTTTGATTGCGCTAGATACCTCATCGACGGTGTACCTCTCATACATATATAGAGGGGATTGGTCTTAATTAACGTTTCCTAGATTTTTTATCTAGACCGGGCAAAACTGACTAGGCTAGCTTTCAAACCCAACTTACCCGTGTTTGGTGTTTTCATACGAACAATAGCAAAGTCAGCCTAGCCGACCTCCAAACCTGGCCTGGCCAGTTTCACTGCCTGACCCGAAACAAGTGTGAACATATACCCCTTGTTTTTAGGTGAGGTTGCCTGAATCTAAAAAGTCAAGCAACGATGTCAAGCCATTGGTTATTTTTGCTCTAAGGGCACATTTATTCTAAGGGCGATATATGTATTACCGTTGCGTGGGAAGCACCTAGGCTTCTTGCCAAACACTAGATAATTTTTTTTGAAATATCTCCTATTAATTGCTTTCGTGAGACGATCGCCTTACAAAGTCTCCAACAAATAAGGATTTTCATCTACCACTTTGTACGGACCTTACCAACTTGGTGACCACTTGCCGAACTTATTGCTCCTCGTTCCAAGTGGTAGAACGGTCTTCGAAACTAGATCCCCCAATTTGAAACGATTTTCCCTTTACCTTCTTGTTGTAAGCGTAGGCAACTCGAGCTTTATCTCTCTCAGTCTCCTTTAGAGCTTTAATTCTTTTTATCCATCACCTTGTCGATTATTATCAACCATGCTTTAATTCTTTTATCCATCACCTTGTATATATTATATTTTTTTGGTAACCTTGTCGATATTATCAACCATCAATTCATGGTACATGGTAGCAAATAGGTTATTTTGTTTTGCCAATTTATATAGACGGGCAACATAACCTCTTGTCTACAAACTAACTGAAAAGTAGTAACTTCATTAGCACCATACCTAGAGATCCTGTGAGCTCATAATGCTTCAGACAAAACTTCGTGCCATCTCCTAGGATTATCCTCAACTTTCTTTTTGATGAGCTTGATCAAAGTCTTATTACTAGACTCGGCCTAGCCATTGGCCTAAGAATTATGAAGAAGAGTTGAGCAACTTGATCTTGTATAATTCAACAAACTCTTGTACTTCTTTTGACGCAAAGGATGTCCCTTGATTCATAGTTAAAGTTTGGAGAGAATTATGTATTAGGCACTGAAACAAATCAGTCTTTCGTATTTGGCACTTAAAAATTTGAACTTTCTTATATGGCACCAAGTTAAAATTTCCTTCTCTATATGGCACTACCGTCCATTTCATCCATTCATGTGTTAGTTGACTATTTTGACCGTGTCAGTTTTTTCTTAGTGTGACCAATTTCTCCCTGGACTTCCCGAGTGGCCGAGCGCTCCTCTCCCATGAGTCCGTGACCTTCTTCCCCCAAAAAAACACCAAACCCTAGATTGATGGAAGGAGGAGGAGAGGATGATGGGGCAGAGGATGTTGCGGCTGGCGGGGTGACCTCACCTGACGGAGCCAGGCCGTGGCGCGGTTCGCGGCGGCGGGGCCGATGCTCCGGCCAGCCCACGGCGTGGCGGAGACGGTGCGGCCCCTCCGGCTAGCCAGCAACGTGGCAGAGGCGGCGCGGCGGCGGCTCCCGGCGCACAGGCCATAGGGCAGCCCGCCATGGCTGCGGCAAAGCCAAGCGGGCATGGAGCTCGTGTGCATGTAGGGTGACACCACCGTCGCAGCATTACTGCTCGGGTGCTGGAGCACCGCCGCTACCACGGCTCGCAGGAGCGCTGAGCCTCCTCGCGCTGCTACCTCGGCCATCTCCGTGCTGAAGCTCGAAGCCGCCGAGCACTCCACGCCCGCTTGCCGAAGCCACGCCGTCGGAGTTGCTTCCTGACCTCGCCACCGGCCACCGTGCTGGAGCTGAGCATTGCCGGAGCCGCCCGTGCCTTGACTTGCCGCAACGGCCGCACGAACGAGCATCCCGCCAGCTCGCATCGGTGCCACGCCGCCAGCGCCAATCGCCGCCGAGACGAAGCCCCCGCCATCGCTCTGCTTCTCTCTCTCTCTCTCTCTCTCTCTCTCTCTCTCTGTTCGGCGCTCTCTGCTCTGCTCCTCTTTTCCCCTCTATTCCGCGCGTGGACGAGAAGACCGAAGACAACGACGCCGTCGTTGAACGCTGTACTCGGCCCGATTCCCTGCTCAAGTCGAGCCGGAGCCCAGGAGCGCCGCTGCGCCCTACGCCGCGATGCTGCCGCTCTGCTCCTTCCCCTGCTCTGCTCTCTCGACTATGGACATGGGAAGTCATGGATGTCGTTCGAAGCCGAACACCGCTTTTGTGCCGAAGCCGAGCACCACCAGGGACACCGTGCTCGCCCGGAGCACTGCGCCAGGCTACTGATGCCGTCCGCCACCGCCCCTCTGCCTCTCTACCTGGCGTCCTCGAAGCCACCGCCGCCGCCCGCCGGACTACTGACGAGGCCGCCGGGGTGTGGAGCACGAGCACCTCAGTTAGTGCCACCAGAGCGAAGCACAATGCCTCGGCTGCCGACCCAACGCCGCCGAAGCCACCCTCACGCCGCGACTGGAAGTCGCCGTGGCACCGAGATGGACGCCGCGCTGCTGCCGCCCACGGCTTTTGTCTCTCTGCACCCAGTCTCTGCGACTCGGTCACGAACGGCCAAAGGCACCTGGCTATCCACGTCACAGCAA